TTGCGTATTTATACGACTACCTGAATCTCATGTTTTAACTGTACATGAAAAGCTGCTTCAGAAGTAAGCTGCCTTGGGTTATTAAAGCACACAAAAGCTCTACCTCATTGAATGTCTTTGAACTTTACTGAGTCCCACAAGCGATCCTGACCCCTTTGCCCTTTTGACAGGTAATAAAGTTTACAGCAATTCCACACCAAGCCATGCACCAGGGAGTGGTCATAGTAGCAGAAAGAGCTGGGAAGGCAAACTCAGGGAAAAAAATAACATTAATATATTGAATGTGTACAAAGAATATTGTACCTGAGTATATGATTTATGAGTTACTTTTCTCCATTGGCTTTTTTCCTCCCCTACTTTTGCCAAACGTTTTGTAATGATGTTAAATTGATTAGTGTTGTTATGAAACGAAACTGGTTTAATTTTCATTGCCAGGCGCTCCTAGTACTCACTCCCAGTTTATTTACCAGGTAGCAGACCTCCCAGTGAATGGCTTGAGGATGGTTTTCGCTTGCGTGACTTGAATACAGTCACTATAGGGGACTTGCCTGCTCGATTGGACTGGTCTATCATGGGCTGCACTATTCTTCTCCGGGCATTAATAAACCTGTAACCAAGAAATTAAAGCAAATCATTATTCATTCCTTTTAAAAGAAACACAAAAGCTGGAGGAAGAGACAAAGATGAATCATAGTGAGGAAAAGGTAGATCCTGGCAGAATAGAACTGCCTTCTTTCTCTGCCCTGTTTCACATACTGCAAAACCTATAACCTCTGTGACCTTTGAATGCAAGGCTTGGGGTTTCTGAGTTGATTTATGTTTGCCTGTTTTACCACAGTTGGACACTTCCATTTCATCTTTTCATGGGGGAATTAGCAGAGTTTTCAGGAAACAATGCTAGCCACCACTCTTTTCAATTGCAAAGGGTGGTGGGGGGGCGATTTGGTAGAGGAACTGAGATGCTCATGAGTGCATCTGTTACCTCTCCAAATTAGTGACATTTCAATCTCAAGCTCTCTGAATTCTTCCAGCCCCCCCCCATTCTTTAACCAAACCTCCCCTACCTTTTACAAACCTAATTCTATTTTAATGCCCACTATTAAGATAATGAACAGGGATGGCAGCACACCATCAAGTAAGAGAATGTCTGGAGTTTATCACCACTAAAACTCACACTGCTGAGGACTTCAGAGAAATGTACTCCTTGTAGAGATTTCTTCAGGTGGCTTTTTTTTTCTTTTTATGCAAAGTGTGAGGTCAAGGCAAGGTCACAGCTATGTAGTAAATGAACTTACACTCTTGGTTTCGTCCAGCTACTACTGAAAATTTATAAACATCTTATTAAGACACTTAAGTTCTTAATAAGATTTTTTTTGGTATCATTATTTTTGTAGCCCCTTCCAAAAATAATGAGGTCACTGGGATATTAACATATGGCTCTCCAAAGCCATGCTCAAGAGATTCTAACTCTTAGGATCCATTTGTATTGTTAATAAGAATTACATATCAAATATAGGGACATATTAGATTTTGAAATAGTAAATTGCTTTTAGTTCCCAATTCAAATTTGGTGTATTCAAAACTGAATAGGAGTCTAGAAACTAGAATAAAAAGTTTAACAATGCACTGTTAATAATTAAAGGATCAACAGTCCAGTATGAATTCAAGTCTATATGGCTGCCCACTTTGAGGAAAGTTTCCTAAAAATAAATGATTGAACACACAAGGGCAGCTTCCACTGGGTGTCCATGGTTCACATATGTAATCCGAGAGATTTCAAGAGGCTGAGATCTGAGGACTGAAGTTTGAAACCAGCCCCAGCAGTAAAGTTCCAGAGACTCTTACCTCCTCCAGTCAAAGAAAACCCAAAAGCCAGAAGTGGAGATGTGGCTCAAGTGGTTGAGTACTAGCCAGCTATGAACAAAAATCTCAGGAATATCACTTATACCCTAAGTTCAGGCCCCAGGACCAACACACACAAACACACACACACACACACACACACACACACACACACACACACACACACACACACACACACACACACACAGAAAAGTGAAAAATGAAAGAAAGAAAAGAACAGTGCTTTGTGACATTTTAAAGATTCTCAATATCCAATATCCTGCATTTTCTTATGTATTTTTTGTCAGTTGTGGGGCTTGAACTTGGGACCTGAGCACTGTCCCTGAGCTGTTTTTGCTCAAGGCTAGCACTCTACCACATTGAGCCACAGTGCCACTTCCAGTTTTCTTGTGGTTAATTGAAGATAAGAGTCTCACAGACTTCCCTTCCTGGGCTGGCTCTGAACCATGATCCTCAGATCTTAGCCTCTTGAGTAGCCAGGTGCCACCAGCACCAGCTTTTCTTTTTTTTTGTCCGGTCATGGGGCCTGAACCCTGGGCCTGGGCGCTGTCCCTCAGCTCTTCAGCTCAAGGCTAGCGCTCTACCACTTGAGCCACAGCGCCACTTCCGGCTTTTTTCTTATGTGGTGCTGAGGAATCAAACCCAGGGCCTCTGGCATGCAAGGCAAGCACTCTACCACTGAGCCACCTTCCCAGCCCAGCACCAGCTTTTCTTATGTCCTTTCATTATCTGAGAAGTAATTAAAATAAATGATGAGGCTAGAATCTAACTAAAAGATGTACTATTGGTGCTAACTCTTTTTGGCATGTATTAGTATGTATTAGTTCTGATATAAGTCCCTGAACTGCTCATAAAAATATTTAAAACACAGATCTACAACAAATTGTGCTGCAAATCAGGTTATCATTATCTTGTATAAACCATGAAAATTGGAATCATGTGAGCAGAAGGTTAGATTAATTCTCCATTCTCATTATAAGCACAGGTGTAGCAGTAACACCATGTGAAATAACCAATTAAAATGAAAAAAAATCTGCTTTTTCATTAGCTGCCTGTACTGCATGACCAATTAGAAAATTACTTAATATTAATATCCTGCATAACCCAAAAGTAATTTTCATAGCAACTAACATAGGTAAGAAAGCAAACCCCTCAGCTCTTTAAATGTGGTAATGTTCATATACTGCTCTTACAAGAGAGGACTGTTATCTCTCTTTTAAAGCACAATAATATTTTAAAATATCATTCATACTACTTACCTAGAGTTAAGAAGAATCATTTTTAACAGGTGAAAAGCCAAGACTCAGAGAAATTAAGTGACTTGAGATCACATGTTACCAAAGAGGCATTAATAATTGACACATGGCTGACAAACAGTAATGAGGACGCTCCTTTCTAATGCCAGGAGCAGAGCATGAACACTGCTATGCTACCCATCTAGAACATTCTGGACTAAACTGCTATCAAAATACTAGCTAGTTTTGAGCCCGTTATCACCGGGAGCAACAAGGAAAAGGCATGACTGTGAACATCTTCCAGATTGGGAATTTTGATGACTTACACTGCTTTTGTATATAGACAGAGACAAAGCTTTTTAAAAAAGATTCATTGAATCAATGTATAGATATTTCATTTTGCTTCCTTTACCCTCCTACTTGCAGACTTCCATGGACCAACTCATAGTAAGCAACTGATTCAGGTTTGGGTCCAGGACTATACCACCCATGTACTTACAGAAAAATTATAGAAAAGTTTTGGAAAGATCTGTAACAACATCTAAGTTGGTCACTGATGTGAGTATTCTCTCTACACTATCCCATCAACCTACTGCTTCTGCTGGGCTGTTCTCCTGATGGCATTTCACTAGCCTTCCACTCCATCTTGGGACAAGGAAAGCTGTTAGAAAGCCCTGCCCTAATTCATCTCCAATCTTTCCACAGTACAACTCCTTGAGGTAATTACACAATTCTAATCTCAGTTCCTTAGGATAACCTTCCATATGTTTGTGTGTGGGTGTGTGTGTGCACACGCGTGCACACACATACCCACGCATGCATGTGCACATGCACCAGTCCTGAGGTTTGAACTCAGGACTTGGGAGCTGTCCCTCAACATTTCTGCTCAAAACTAGAACTCCACCATTTGAGCCACAGGTCCATTTCTGGTTTTCTGATGGTTAATTGGAGATAAGAGCCTCAAGGACTTTCGGGGGTAGGGGTGGGAAGGGGAGTTTGGCTTCCTCAAATCTCAGCATCCTGACTAGCTAGGATTATAGCTGGAACCCAGCCCCCTTCTAAATATTTAAATATACTCATCATGCCCTCTAGGCTTCTGGTTTCTTTTCCCCAGGTTTAAACATCCCAGAAGTTAAGCCCTTCTGGTATGACTTACTACTTACTACTGGGCTATTCTCTGCTCCGTTTCCTCTAAAAGTTTGCATGGGACAACACTAATCACACTTTTTACATGCCTCCTCTGATCCTCCACGTAGAGGGCAGAAGCCTTACCACAGCCTCTCAGCTAAGTACCCACATGTTCTTAATGCTATTTGCTTCTCTTTGGGTAGCAAAAACTATTTATTTTTAATGGCTACCACAAGTTTAAGAAACCCATAGCTTATGTGGATATCAAGGTAGGAATCCTTTATAAAACGAAGTTAAAACAGAAATGCACATTATCTAAACTGTTTGATTACACTGATAACTCTACACAGATGCTATTTTTGATGCTTTTAAAAAATTCAGTGTAATAAAATATTTTCACTACATATAAAACACTGAAAGCTCTGAGAATACTATTGAATTACAATTCCTATATTATTACCTGAGGTAGTGGTAGACATCTTTATCTGAAAATGACTAAACAACAAGGTATTTTATTTTCTAAAACAAGCCAACCTTTTTTTTTTTATTGTAACACCATCTCAACATTTGACTTTTCCTAATGTATTTCTAACCATCTCACTCTACTTCAAATATCTCTTTTTGGAATTAGGCTTCATACAGCAGAGCCATGTGTTTAGATGGCTTCAGGGGTGAATTCAGATACAAACACATTTTCCTTCTAGGCAAAGTAATAAAATGGAATTCTTGCTCCTCCCACTATAAGTCAAATGGAGGTCAGTTCCCCCATCCCTCGATCTGTTTAAATAAACTGGTCCAGCTGTTTGTTTCTACAATGCCCTCTGACCTGTGTCTCATCTTCCCTGCTTTTGTGACAGAATGCTTTACTCTTCATTGTGGAAGAGTCTGAGTTATAAGGAATTTTCTAAACACTACCCCCCCCCCAAAATAACTTTAGGTTTGATGCAAACTTAAATGAACATATTTCCTTCTTGAAATGCTATTGTTCTAAAAGGCTGATTTTTGTTAGTACATGTGTGTATGTATTCAGAAACCACAACCTTAGAATTTTTCCCCATTGATAAAATCTTTTTAAGAAGTTCATTAGTGTAAGATGCAAGAGAAAACTGAGAAATTTATTATGGATATCCAAATGCAACATTGCTGAAAAGCTGATGTAGAACATCATAAACACGACAATGTGAGTTTTGCTTCTTATATACAGATGGTTGCACACCTTTCTATAATAGACTGTAATTCAAATTTGGTGTAAACTGGCATTTTAGAGAAAGCAAACCTTTGAGTTAAGTACACTTTAAAGGTTAGAAAATGTCTGTTTGCCTTTCTATATTGCATTCTTAACATCAAGGTATATATTTCTAAAATTCTATTTTGCTTTGGA